TAAGGAAACTGAAGCCAAGTAAGGCTAAGCAATTTGTTCACAAATAGTAAGCAATGCTGGGCTTTGACCCCAGGGCTGCATTCCAAATCCAGTGCTCACATATAATAGGAGTACCCATTTAGTCATAACTTTAGTGCCCTAAAGTCAAAGACTTTAGAATTGAGAACCAGGAAGAAAGTAATCACCTTATCTAAGCCCCTCATTTTATAAAGAGGTGATGTAATCTGGGACAGGTCACTTGTCCCCTCAGAGTTTTAGTTTTCTCATCCCCAAAATAAGGAGCTAGACCAGATGATGATTGAATTCCCTTCTAGCTAACTCCTATGAGAATAATACTGGGGATTTCTTTAGAATAAAACTAACAGATTTCTCACAGATTGTGAGGTTCCTTGAAACAACTCTGTGAGGTAGGTTGAAAAAAATATTATTCCCATTTTACAGATGGAGTTGCCAAAGCTTAGAGAGGTTGACAGGCCACATTTAGAAAACGTAAAAGTAGCACCCAATCCCAGCTTTCATGAGCAAAGATTCATTGTTCTTCTCATGACATGAGTAGGCCCAGGCATTTGTGATCTAAAAGTGCTTTAATAAATATAAAACTATACATATGTGAAGGGTTATTTCATAGTAATGAGAAACAGGAAAACTTTGTTGCCAGATAAAGCTCCTAGGGTACCAGTTTTAGTAAGGAAGATAATTATATTGAATTTTCTATACCTTACATACATACATCCTGTAGTCTTGCTTATCTAGTTGATTGGCTTGACAAAACTTTCCTTAGCTAACATTACTAAACTATAACTGCATCAGTAAGTGTTCTAGAAAATAATCTTTTAAGAAATAAAGTAGATTATAGGCCTTTTCAGGTTGGTTTCCCTGGGGCTCATGGTTGACCAAAGCTCATCTCTTTGATGGTATTATTCCAGAAAGCCCAAGATGATGGGTCAAGACCGGCAAAGAATGAAATTGGCTTGAAAATGCTTGAATGAAATGCTTGGAAAGGCATTTAAGAACAGATAACCTCCTTGAGGCCTTCTTATCCATTTAGCCTTGAGCTAAGTCAACCAGTAGTACCCTTCAAGTTACCTAGTAGAAGTTGCACTAAAGATGATAGGGTGGTTTAGCCTGAAGTTGAGAAGATGTGGTGAGTGCTGAGTAGGCCGAGGCATGATTGCTATCTTCAAATATCTGAAAGACTATTAGGGTAAAGAGGAATTAAGCATGTTCTGCTTGGCCCCAGAGGGAATAACTAGCTAGTTTGCAAGCAGGCAGGTAGATCTTGGTTAAGTATACTAATAAAATTAACATTTATATATAAGGCAGTTATGCAGTAGAACACGTCAGAAAACATGGGTCTGTCACAAACTCTGCCACTAATTAGCTATATCATTTGACCTCTGGGCTATGGTTTTTCCATCTGTAAGATGAAGGAGTTGGACTAGAACTTTAATATCCCTGGAATTCATTGGTCTTGATCTAGTGCTTTAAAAATCACAAGATCTGTTTCCTCAAAATACACCCCCATGATGTAGGTTAGTACAAATATCCCCATTTTACAGATAAGGAAATGGCTGCTCTTAGAAATGAAGTGACTTAGCTATAACCACACAGTAAGTACATGGCAGAGCCTGGATTTGAACCCAGATTTTCTGATTATTTAGCTATTTAGTTTAGTGTGCTTCTTTATTAAAATTGATGGCTCCTGTTTCTTTAGCACTTTAATGTTTAGAAAGTACTTTCCTTACAACTCATTGTCACTGGAAGATAGTCAAGCAGCAGCTGTATAGCGTTCTTTAAGCCTGATGCTATAGAGGGGCTTACTGCATTGGAGGGAGGTTAGATTAACCTCCACAGCAGGGATTCGGAAACCATTTTTTATGTTCTGGACATTTTGGGCAGTCTGAAGCCTATGGACCCCTTAATTTTTTAATCATAAAATAAGATTACAAAAGAAATCAATTATAATGAGATAATAAAAATCAAGTTGATGAACTCTAGGTTAAGAACCCCTGCTTTAAGGTTTCTTCTAGCTCAGGTTTATGATCTTTCTGCTCCTCATTTCATATTTTATAGAATATTGTCCAATGCACAGGTATTTAGATGTGCAAAATATATTTCTTTCAGAAAAAGTTCTTGCTGGAAGGTATTGGGACTGAAATAAAGTAAATATTAATTGAGAGAAAAAATGCAAAGCAGTCAGTGAGTGCCCGTTTGTTTGCAAGGAAGTATTTTTCTCATTTTTGTTGCTGAAAGAAAAGGCATTGTGATGTCTTATATTAAAAAGCTAAACCTGGAGCCAGGAAGATGGGGTTTCAAGCCCCTCCTCTCACGTATTCTTGACTGTGTGACTCTGGCTGGGTAAGTTACTTAACCCTCTAATTACACTGGTAGAAGGAGTTTCTTTGGTCCATGCCAGTGAAATCCCAGTTCCAGCCCTTACCTTTAACCTTTTGGTGTTTAAAAAGGCCCAAAGAGAAAACATAATAGTTGAAGGTTCTATAATTTGACAACTGAGTTTGAGTTAGACTCCTCTTTGTTCTCTTGTGTAAGTTAGCTTTTGGTCTCTGTGGTACTAATGGAAAGAGCCCTGGACTGAGAAATAGAAAATGTGGTTTCAGGTCCTGGCTGTATTCCTAATTTGCTGTGTGACCTGGAATAATTCATTTCCTGTCTTTAGACCCCTGTCAAATAAGGAGAAAAATTCTTGCTCTGCCTCTTCATAAAATTTTCTTTTTAAGGATCAGCTGAGCATATGAGGTAAAAATGGTTTTTAACAAAGTAAAGTGTTATACAAATTGTTTTTTATTGGAACATATCGGGCATACATAATTATATATTGTTGGGCTATTCTAGTTAACTGAGGATTAGCCATAAAACCCTTTGTTTTTCCTTTCTGTTGAAAGTCTAAAATACTTGAATCTACTTTCCTGCCTTAGAAAGTAAAATGGACTGACCAGAAGTAGATCTTCCTCTAGAGGGTGATGATCTTGCAAGGCCTTTGGGGCATCCTTCTGAATAAGGTGTAATAGAGTGGAGTAAATTTGAACTAAGTTTAGGCTCCCTTTCAACATTAATTTTTTAAACTGAATCTTTGCTATGAGCATGTTTTCTCATTTGCTGATTGCTCTTAAATACAGAGCATAGAATCACCACTGCTATTTATTTGGATTCCTGGATAGGTTTGATTTAGTGGGCTAATTAGTGGTATGTATGGTTCTCTGTTAGAGTGTTGGTATCCCCATTTTATTAGATGCTGTTTTAGAAAGAACACTGGACTTGGAAACAGAGAACCTGACTTCGAATCCTGGATCTGCTACTTACTACCCTACATGATCTTGGGCAAGTCTTCCCCTTTTGGGGCCTCAATTTTCTTATTTGTAACTGAGAGTATTAGACTAGAGAGCAGTATGTTGTAATGGAAAGAGTGCTTCAATCAGGAGAGAACTAAGAACTAATCTCACCTCTGACACTCAATATGTGACCATAAGCAGATCATTTATTCTTTCAGTTTTCTTGTCTTTGAAATGGGGATAGTAATGCCTTTAATAACTACTTCTTGGGGTTTTTGGCAAGGATCAAGTGAGACAAAACCTTAAAGTGCTATATAGATATCATCTAATATGATTGTTATTTCCCTTCTCCATTCCTTTCCATCTGACTCCTATGATCTTACAGGTGAAGAAACTCAGAGACTCAGAAAGGTGATGAGCTTGCCCAATATTCTACAGCAAATAAAATGGTGGAAGAAGGACCAGAGCTTCAGTCTATTGACCTTTCTTCAGGGTGCTCTGTACTACTTGGTGCTGTCTCTCTTACAGAGGCTTCATCTAGCCATTTTGTACATTTAACTTTTAATTGCTGGGGGTATTGGAACAATAAAAAGCACCAGCAAGTGGCTTTTGAAGATACTCTAATTAGATATCAAATGTCCAAGTACAGGATGAGGGTGATGTGGTTAGACAAGTTCACCTGAAAAAGAGCTGAGGAGTTTAGTGGAGCACAAGCTCAATGTAAGCCAGTCTGGTGAGACAGGAAGAAAAAAAGAAATAAGGAAAAAACCAAACTGTCTTGGGGTTAATGGAGAGAGTATCTGAAACAGGAGATAATATAGTCCCATTATCTTTGGTTCAGACCATATCTGGAATACTTGTGGGTGCTGAATTTTAGGAAGGACATAAAGACACTTAGGGGAGAGCAACTAGGATAGCAAGCAGACTGGAGACTGTGACATACAGGAATCATTTGAAGCAACTGAGATGTTTTGTCTAGAGATGAGGCTATTTGGGGATGGAGGTGGGGTGGATATGACAATATATTCAAGCATAAAAAAGGTGGAAAAGGAATTGACCCCAGAGGGAGGAATTACGAGCAGTGAATGGAAATTTCACAAAAGTAGATCTAAAGTTAGTGTCCAGAAGGGGCCCTTGGCTCCTCTCAAAGCTTAACTCAAGTGCTGCCTTCTACAAGAGGCTTTTCCCAATTTCCCTCAGTTGTCAGAAATTATTATACAGGGTGTCTCAAAAACCTCCAGAGAGTTTTAGGCTTTAATAGTTTAAAACTACACCAAGGCTTTTGGTATACCTTATATTTATTTTGTATGCCTTTTATATTTGCTTCTCACTACACGTGTTTCTCCCCAGTAGAATGTAAGCTCATTGAGGGCAGGGAATGGTTTTGTTTTTTTTTACGCTAGTCCCAGGGCCTGCCATAGTTCACGGCATATAGTAAGAAGGTGCTTAATAAATGCTTGATGAATTTAATTGAATTAAGCAATTAGATGTCTAAAAAGTAAAATGGGTTGTTTTGGAATATAGTGAAGATAGTGACATCCTCTTCCCTGGAGGTATCCAAGCAGAAGTTGGATGACCCCTTGCCAAGGATGTAGAGGGTTTCCTGTTCAAGTATAGGTTGGCCCTCTTAGGGTCCTTCCAACCCTAAGATTCTGTGAAAACTTAGGTTACCTGCTTTACCCAATAATGCCCAATATGTTCTTGTTTCAGATCCTGAAACAGATGAAAAATTGGCTACCTTAAAGAAGACCAGCTGGCGAGGGGAGCTGGAGCCCTTTCAACTGTGAGGAGGAAGTTCAATCAGCCTTTGAAATGTACTCAAAGATAGGTCTGATAGAAACAAAATTATTAATGTTTAAAAGTGAAGAATGCTACAGTCAAACCCTTCCTGAAGTGAGGGCTTTAGGAAGACCCTGGATAAGCAGATCCCCTGGCTCCCAGGAGGTGCACTGTAAACCTTTCCTATCTCTCTGGCATAGTCTGTGAAGCCCTTGTGATGATGATCGCTGTCGGGGAGAGGGTCCGGGCCTTTTGGGGAAAATGAACATTCCCAAGGACTGCCAGACCTCAGGGGCCCATCGACCAGTTCCACAATCTCATTTTGGTATTTCCCTTTTCAGCTTCAAAGGGCCTGTCCAGAGCAGGGCCACTCTAGTGGCTAAGAACCCAGAGACATCTGGATATTATTCCGAATGACCTGTAAGTCTGTGAATCTATTCCCAGTAGTTTGTTTCTTATCTCTCCATGCCGGAACAGAGAGAGCTTTGAGAACAGGGTTGGTGAAGTTTATTAAGCAGTTAGAAAAAAGAAATGTGACTATATCCCTTGTTTTGGCACACATTAAGATAGTTCTTGTACCGAATCAAAGAACATTGGATTTTGAAGACTACTGACTAGCCAAGTGACCTTAAACAAGTCACTTTTCCTCCCTGGGCCTCAAGTTTCCTCATCTATTAAATGAAGGGGGCCTGACTGGATTATCTCTCAGGTCCCTTCAAGCTCTAAATCCTACAAAATATTCCAGGTACCTTCCCCATTCCCTCCTACCCTAGCCTAACACTGTAGAAAGATAGAGCATGCTTACTGTATAACAGAAGGCCCCACAGGGTGGACATGATCTGCCAGGTCATCTTGAACTGGTATTATTAGCTCATGCTCCTACTCTTCCCTTTTGCAGGGTCAGGATTCTCATCAGATTGGGGAACTCAGCCTTCAGTCACTGAACTCCATTGCCAAACCTCATCAACAGCCCATTTCCCCTCTCCCAAAAAGTGCTGAGTCATAGAATCTCATATTTAGAGGTTATCCAGTCCAAATTTCTATGATATCTGTGACACAGGGTCATTCCTCCTTCATTTGAACACCTTCAGTGTTGGGGAAGCTCTTACCAAGATAGCCCGTTCCATTGTTGGACAGATCTTATTTTTAGAACACTTCTGAGGACATCTGTTCTTCTAGTGCCATCCCAGCTTTCACAAACAAGGAATCTGAGGTTCGGAGAGAGTGACTTTCCCCAAGATCACACAGCTAGCTAGTGGTGGACAATTAGAAATGTGTCAGTGATGGATCGTTAAAAATACACTAGACTTGAAGTGAGGAGACCTGGATTCTAGTCCCAGGATCGAGCTCATTGCTGTGACTTTTGTGTCTGGCCATCATTCAAGCTAAAGCTTGGAGGCTTTTTGACACTGATGCAGCTGCTGTTGGGGGGGAATCAGAAAGTGGAATATTCAGTGAAAATCAAGAGCGGTGGCCTCATTTTAAAAGCAAATGTAAGCATGGTGCACCTAATATCAGGGTGGAAGAGGAAACTTGCTAATGTTGAAGAGGTGGCAGTTTCCCAAGTCTGAAAAGATCTTCTGTTTGGAAGGCAGCAGATTAACCAACAGTTTGATCTCTGCTGCTTACTGACTGTGCTTTGCACAGGGAAAACTTGCAAAATGCATCCATGCTCAGTTCCTCAGAAATCTGTCAAGTGGCCCTAAGCCTTCCCATCCTCAGAGATGCCTGTGAAAATCCTCCTCAAGGAAGCCCTTCTGAATTCTGAGTCTGATGAGGGTGCTCCTTCTCCTTCAGGTTTGTTGCTGTAAAAAGTCAGGCAGAAATTATGAAGAAGGAAGATAATCACTTCTTACTCTACGGATCAGGTATAATTCACACAAGGTAAGAAAGATAAGGATGTCAGAGCTGGGATGAGAAATTTGCAAGCCCAAGGCAGGCTTCAAAAATGATGCTACTCTCTCCCCCACTATCCCCTGGGTGTGACTATTCTTTGGAAGCTTTTAAACTTTCACAGTAAGGCAAGTGATTGACCTTACCATAAAGCCAATCCCTGAGTAACCTAGAAAATGGATTTTCTGGCATTAAACACCTACATTTGTAAAGATATGTTAAAAAGTGCCACTCCTTGTGCCCCTCCCTATGTCACATCCTAGATGATGTTTCCCCTTGCCTGGCCCTAGTCTCATCTCTAGGACAAAGATAGTTCGTAGGTCTTTAGCACTTTAAGGTTTACAAAGCTCTTGATGCACCACAATCCTGTGAGGTAGGTAGTCTAAGGATCACAATGCCCACTTTACAGATGAGGAAACTTGAGGCTCAGCGAGGGAAAGTGGCATAAAATATATTATGATATTGTATAATATTAAATACAATTTTATGTATTGTTTACTCTGCTTGGTTTCATCGGTTTTAATATATGCTTTAGAAAGCTTTATATACCATGCGGGTATAATACTTAAAGTTGATTAAGTATGGTGTTTGTGGTTATTTATATTAAAAATTAAATGTCAAGAGTAAAATTGTCTTTTGGACTCTAGTAGCTCACACTGATATAGCCTGTTATAGTTACAAAGCACTTTACATCCATTTCCTCATTAGATCCTTACAAAAGATCTGTGAGGAAAGTAGTACAGAGATTATTACCCCTACTTTACAGGTGAGAAAACTGAGGCTCAGTGTTTTGTTCTCCCTTTATATAATATAAAGATTCCTAAGAGGAGGGAACTCAGCCAGCAGCCACTGACCCCCCAGTCCCTAACCTTATTTCCTGCTCTAGGGATTGAGGCTCAAAGGTGGATTAGTTTGTCCAAGCTGAATAGCAAGTATGTGACTTAGTGGGCACCAGGTCTTGTTCTTTGATATCCAGGGCTCTTTCTGTTGCACCTCACTGCTTCTAATGATGTCATTCTCTTTAGGGGAAAACCAGTCAACTTAATAGAGCATTTTTTTTTCAGGAATGCAATTAATAGCATTTAGTACTGTAAGTAGGGGTAAGATATGCCTATAAAGTAGTGTGCTTTCAGAAGCTGGTAGATGTCAGTCTCTTTAATAGCTCTACTCACTAAATATATTAAGATTCCATGACCTCGGACATAGGTGCACCTGCGAGAACAGGGACAGACTTGGGTGTTGCCATGAATGCAGCTCTTATTAACTTTGTAACATAACATCATTGCTGCCAGGGCCTTTGTATGCACTGTGCCTAAGCTCTCCAGTAGCTATAGCCCAGTGCATGAACACTGTGCCTAAGCTCTCCAGTAGCTTATAGTATAGCCCAATGCATGAGTTTTCAACAGAAGAACACACAAAACAGAGAAACATAAATATAAACACATAGGGAAAGCCACCCAGATAACCTGACCTCTTGCAGCCATGCTGCTATTAGAGTTGGATCTTACTTGGCTCACTTGCTCTTTCCCCTATCAACATACTCAGCTTTACAATCACAGTGTAAGGCCCACATTAATAAAACACCAGCCCCAACACCTACTGTTATCTTTGCTTTTCTAAGCTACCTATAGGCAACTTTGAGAAGTTGGTGGCGTTGTTGCAGCTATTGCTTCATCAGATCACTTGCCCTCCCTTTGTAGTTGGAGTAACAATGATACAGGACAGGTGGGTTAACTTTTCCAACTCTCAAATGGCAATAACAATTCTTTGTGGCCTTTTTTGTAAGAAAGAAATGATAACTGAGTAATCTTTGGAAAACTATATCCAGTCTTCAGAATGTCCTTCAACGCTTTTTAACTTAAATGTCTGCTTGTCAGAATGATGGAAACTTTTCTACCAAGAACTTTTGAAGTAGGTGGTTTAGGACAAAGAGGGGATAGATGTGTGTGTTATTTCAGATGTTATTACAAATGGAAGGGCAAAGTCTGCCTCTTGGTGAGTCCATATCATTTGGAGGAAGAACATTTCAGTTTGCCTTTCGATGCCAGAAGACTTCTTCTTTACTCCTTAAAATAGCCACGTATTGGAAAATGTATAGGACTGAAAGTCAGAAGACTTGAGTTCAAGTCTCAGTGGCTTTATCTTTTACACTTAATAGTCATGTTATCTTAGGCAAGTCACTTCATTTTTTTGGGCCTGGGATTTGTCATCTGTAAAATGAGGATAGTAAAACTTGCCCTGCCTTAACAATTACGTTATACAAATTGGATGGGAAGTAAGCCTGGTACAATAGAAAAAGTTCTGGATTTGGAATCAGGAAGTCCTTGATTTGAGTGCTAGCTCAGCTGTTTATGAGCTGTGGGACTGAGCAGGTTACTTCTTTGAGCCTCAGTATCATATAGAGAAGACTGTGTTTGAAGGTGGGGGACCTTAGCTTGACTTTCTGGCTCTATTATTGATTGGGTGGCCTTGGGCAAGTCACCTCATCACTCTGGGCCTCTGTTTCCTCCTCTGTAAAATGAGGGTTTGGGAACTAATTAATTTCTGACGTTCCTTCCGGATCTGAAATCCTCTGATAACTGTGGAAGAATACTTGCATTGGCCACCTCACAAGCTAGTGGTAACAAAAGCACTTTGTGAACTGTAGAGTGCTATAGAAAAGTGAGCTGCTATTATCATTATTATCATCACATGATTAAGGTGTGAGATAAAGGAGAGTAAGTATGTAAAATGCTTTGTAGAATGTAAGGTCCTTGATGGTAAGGACTGTGCTACTTTTATCTTTGTCTAGCACAGTATCTTTTAGAAAGTGGATGCTTTATAAATGTTGTTTTGTTTGTTTGTAAACCTAACAGCACTATATAGATGTCAGCTGCTATTATTATTAATAAATGTGAAAGCACTTTGGAAACCATAAAGCGCTCTACAAATATAAAGTTGTTAAAAGTTTAAAACCTGCCAAAGACTACAGAGAGCCCTCCTGTATCCCAGTGAATGTCTCTATTTAAATAATTCTATTTTTGATGTCATGTACCTGCCAGAGAGTGCCAAGATGAGTCATGTCCCATGTACTGATGTAGATGTGAATCTCAGCAGTGTCAGACCCCTTTCCCATAGCTCAGCACCACTTAGATCCCATCCAGGCCAGCTGACCAAGGGTTAACCACCTGTGAAGAACAGTAAGCAAGAGCAATGGGCCTATGGGTTGGGTTAGCCCACCACTTACTAAAGCTAATTCTTCCTGATTGATGGACAAGTTATTACAGAGTTATCTGGAGCCTCATCACTGGAGTGCCAACAATTTGGATGGCTTCCCTCAGCTGCTTCAATCCTCCTTCACCTCCTGTCAGCAAAGAACATGATCCAAACAAGCAGTCCTGTGGATTGACGGATTCATTATCAGCATTCCCCAGCCCCTTCTCCTGGGATGGACAGGTTTCTCTGGCCTCTGAAGAGGTACATTCTGGAAAGAGCAGAGTAGCCTTAAGAAATAGCGTGGTTGGGCAAAAAGAACTCCTGGCCTGAGAATCAAAAGACTTGGTTTCTAGTCCCAGTTCTACCACTCATTATGTGACCTCAAAAGAGTCACCTTCCTATCCTAGGCCTCATATCCCACTTGGTAAGATAAGGAGAGTAAAGGGATTAGACTAGGGGTGGGGAACCTGGGGCCTCAGGCCAAACGTGGCCCTCTAGGTCCTCAAGTGTGGCCCTTTGACTGAATCCAAGCTTCATAGAACAAATCCTCTGCGGCCTTGAGGCCACAGGTTCCCCACGCCTGGATTAGACTGTTTCTAAGATCTCTCAGCTCCAGAATTCTGGGATCTTTAGGCCTTTTTCCTCTCTGGGCCTCACTTCATCTAAAATAAAGATACTGACCTAGGTGCTTTTTAAAGGTCCTGTAAATGTTGGTCTATGTTTCTAGGCTGTCAGAGACTTTGGGCCTTCCTTCTGCTTTTTGGTTGTCACATCCATTCTCCTGGGTATGATAGTTTGAACTTGGGGCTAGAATTTATTCCTATTCCTACTGCAGAAGTTAAAGCCCAGAGAGAGAAGGTGATACCTATGGTCATATAGGTAGTAAGTAGCAGGAATAGGATTCACACAGGACTTCTGACTCCATTTCTGATATATGGGTCAAGAATGAGCCCAGAGTCTGAAAATTCAGTTCAACAAACAAATTAAACATTTAGTTTTTTCAGGGTCTTGGACTTTGACTGCGAGGACACAAAGATGGAATGAAAAATGGCAGTTTCCAACCTCAGAGAGTTTATAGCTTAATAGGTAGGATAGATCATACATTTAAATCAGTATAAATTAAGATAGACTGTCAGACAAGGTAGATCTGGTCATATTATTTTAGGAAAATTAGAGGAAGAAGAGGATTGCTTCTTTTTTCTTTTTTGAGGAACAAAGGACAACTTCATGAAGGAAGTGGTACTTGAGTAGAATCTTGAATCAAGATAATATTTGAAAGGGGTGGAAGTCTGAACTTCATGATTCACTCAGATTCTGGAGAATATGGTCCCTTTTCTGACACTGCTTGGGAGCCCATTTTGACCTTTTTTCTCCCAACGACCCAAAGTGTTCCTGTCTATCCTGTGTAGGAACTGGTCTCAGGATAGATGTAGACTCAAGCCCAAAGGAGTGGGTGTAGAAAAGAAAGGAAGACTTGTTGCCAGAAAAGAAAAACATGAGAGATCTATGCTTTTATGAATTCATACATGTACCTATGATACATACTCCCCTCTTTATTTATAATAATAATAGTAATGATTATATAGTAAGAATTACAGATCTGTCCTTGTAGTATCCAAGGTGGGAGCTGCTGACTCTTCCCTTTCACAGCCTTCCTTTTAGAGTTTTTTTCACAAAGCAGCCCAAAGGTAATTTGAATAACCCAATTACCCTGAAGGATGATAGAGAAGGAAGAGGTATCTGGAAGAGAGTGAGCATATTCTTCCAGGTTCTGTGGTATATTGAGGGGAAGTTTAGTTAATATGAGTAAAAAGTGACAACCTCCTAATGAATGAGGGGGAAGCCAATGGTATAGTCTCCCTGTAACTCTCGATGGGGATTGAAGACAAACTCATTTGAATAGTTTAAAGAGGTGGGAGGCAGATTTGCATAACACCCCAAGAAGTCTTGGAGTGAGAAAGCAGGAGAGGTAGCAGATGTAAAGCACAGGTGACCAGCATAACTCTGAAGCTAAGCCAGAGGAAGTGGAGCAGAGACAATGAGCTCTGCCTATGAGGGGCTCGCACAGGCCTGACCAATGTAACCAGTGATGCCTGAATAGAGCTGCAGAGGAAAGAGCAACTTGGTCCAAAGAACCTTTAGAGGGAAGCACCCACAGGAAGACGCAAACCCTCTCCCCTTCTCCCTCTCCAACACCACCCAAGATAGTACTAAAGACAAGAAAGAATAAAAAGGAGTCAAATTCAGTAACCCTGTGTTTGATATTGCAAGAATATAAATCACTTTAGAAAGGACTCCTTGCTAGGGAAACAAGAAAGCAAGTTGAGAGAAATTAATTTTAGATTTCTACCATGTGCCATAATAAGCTTAAAATGAATATGATCTAAATATGAAAGATTACTCGGTAAAAAAGGAAAAGAAAATGACATCAGGTTTATATGAAATTGAAAAACCCTTGAACAAACAAAATATAGCTAAAATAAGAAGGGAAGCTGTCAAAAGTGGGTTAAAATCTGCATCAAACATTTTTAACCTTTTGGTGCCTCAATTTCCTCATTAGTAAAATGAGGGGGTTGGACTGAATGTCCTCCAAGATCTCTTGTAGCTCTAAACCTGTGATACTATGACAATTCATACAATTATATGATTGTGAGTCATTCCCCAGGATGAATAAGTGCTTAAAGGATATGAGTAAACAGTTCTTAGAATTGCGTACTCTTAATAACGAAATGAAAGATTTCTCCAAATCACTAACGAGAAATGCAAATAAAAATAACTGAGATTTTCCCAACCCCAGCAAATTGGCAAAGATGACAAAAGCTAGAAATGTGTAATTTTGGAGAAGCTCTGGAAACACTCTACATTAACACACTCTTGGTGGAGCTGTGATTTTGGTCCAGTTGTTCTGGAAAGCAATTGGAATCATACTTTAAAAAAAAAAAAAACTGATAAGATATCCACACCATTTGATCTAGAGGTACCATACTAAGTATTTATCCCAGGAAGATTAAATACAAAAAGGAAAGCACCATCTGCACCAGAATATTGATGACAGCACTTTTTGTGGTCTCAAAGAATGGGAAATTGTAAGTGCCCACTGATCAGAGAATGGCTGAACAAACTGTGGTCCATGAATGTAGTGGAAATATCACTCTGTTTCAAGAAATGACTGTGAAGAGCTCACAGGCTCATTCATTTGAGGCTGGAAAGAACCTTAGGCATCATTTAGACCTGCCCCCTTCATTTTCTAGATGAGGAACTGAAGCCAAGAGAGGTTAAGTAATTTGCCCAGGGTCATACTGCTGGTAATTGTCAGAGGATTTGAACCCAGATCTTTCTAATTCCAAGTGCAGTACTCTCTTCACTACTCTATGTTCCCTCTAGCATGGGAACCCCTGTGGACTGCAGCAGAGAGAAGGAAGCAGAACTTGGAAAACATACACAATGGTTAGAACAATGAAAAGGGAAGAAAAAGGAAATAATGTTGTGTGGTTATGACCAAGAAAAGTTCAGGAAATGCACCTTTCTGCCATCTTTGCAGATGTGGGGGACAATGGGTGTGGAATATTGTATACACTCAGATTTGATGTATAGATTTTATTGAAGTGCTTTTCTTTTCATTGTTACAAGGGAAGGGAAAGGGGTATATTTAGAAATAAAGGTGATATGAAATTTTTAAAAAATTATTTTAAAATAAAAATAAAAGACTTTTGGTGGGGGAGTAACCTGCTTGAAGGGGTAAGTATTTCACCTCAATATGGACTTGGAAGAGAATCCTTTCTGTGTTCTTTAATTTATAAATAAATGTGTTCAATATCTTGAGCTTTTTGATCCCGAGTGCTTATAAGGGGAGCTTATAGTTACTCTTGGGAGGAGTGCCAGCTATGCAATGCCACTGTCAGATCATGCTATCCCACATAGCCATCCTCTCTAACTCTCTTGCCATTATTCCTGCTTTTGCTTTAATTGTTATCACCTGGAACAATACCTACGGACCAGACTGCCAAAAACCAACCTCCCTCTTCTCCCTGTCTCTGAGGGAGTTAATCCACTCGGGCCAACCTCCCTAGATTGGTGAGTGAATGAATACGAATGTAACTAGCCCAACCAGACCATCAGCTCTGCAAATCTACTTCTTGCTCTGGCCTCAGTAATGAAATTATTACTACTGTTATTCCTGGAAAAGTCTTATCATTTGGCTGCTCTCTGGATCAGTTTATTGTTACTGTGACTCCCTACATACTCCTTTCCTTGGCCGTCAGTCCCATACACATTTGTCTCACTTGTAGTTTTATCCCAAGAACTTAGCTCAGTGTCTAGAACAGAGTAAGCATTTAGTAAATGCTTTTTCATTCATTTTGTCATTGACATTCCTAGTTTGTATTTATGAAGGAACAATGAGAAGTTCCCAAAGTAGATCTAGGCCTTTTGTGTCAGAAAGGGTCCCTGACACATGGCTTATTTTTTTAAGTTCTTATCTTTTTAACACTTTATGGTTTACGTAATAATTTACGATTTCTCATCTCACCTGATCTCCAAAACAACCTTGTGAGATCGGTGGTACATATATTCCTCTTCTCATTTAACAAATAAGGAACCTAAGATTTGGGTTCATTTTGCCTAAGCTCACCATTTGGTAAGGGAGAGGGCCTGTATACCAGTCTAGGTCCCCTGACTTGAAATCTAATGTGTAAAAATGCCTTCATTTTATAGAGAAAGAAACAAGTCTGGAGGAGGGACATGACTGTGTGAGCCAAGGTTCCACAGCTATCAGAAACCCAGGTTCCTTTGATCCCAGCGTAGAATTCTTTTTCCTCCCATGCTGCATCTGTCTTCAAAGGAAGGAGAGATACGTGTACATTGAAGTAGCTAGATTAGTTTCTTATGGAAGGTAGAACATTCGCATGGTAGGCCAGCCTGTACTCTCTAGCACCCTCTCCAAATATTTAGTTTCTCTTAGCCTCTAGTATCCAACATGACATAAGTTCCCCACTACTTAATGAATCCAAAGGTTCAGGGGGCAAGACCCTCACAACTTGTCCCATGTGTCCTTGTCAACTGCCCATTTAGGAAAAGATATTTTTTGTAACCCTAAGTTTCTCATCAGTCTGAGACTCTAACTTGACAGTTTATATAACTGGATGGGAGAGGTAACTAGGACGTGGTGGCCGAGGCTTTTCTTGGAGCCTCTTAGAGCCTCTGAGAATTTCTCCCTTCATAGGGCTGATGTCCTAGGTATCATGGGGTCTTTCCTCACCTCATGCTTGGAATATATGCTTATTACTGCTTTCCTTACATGCCACATTTTCTAGTTACGATTCTGCTGGCTGGAAGCTTTCTGGTCTCAGTCTTGTTTTCCTGAACTCAATGAAATGTGTTACATTTTTCCATCCACCCGTTCTTCCCTAGAAGTTTTTAAGCCCCATCTACATTTTCCATGCACATTGTATTTGATGTCATGTTTCTAAAAGGCAGAGAAAACATTTCAGTCTTGCTTTGGATAATCACATCCCATTATTTCAATTCCTCATCATTAACAACTCACCTCGTGTAATGTTGACATTAACATCTCATGTTCCCAATTGCCAAGGCCCAGTAACAGAAACTGGGAGGGAGGACTAGACTATTGGACCAGGTCAAGCTAGAGTTGTTTCCTGAGAGCAGGACTTGCCATCTGCAAAATTGTAAACTCTACCCAGTGTAATTTCAAAGAAAGAGCACTACATTTATAATTATAGAACCTGGATTCTGAAATTGAGTCTGCTACTCACTAGTAGTGTGACTTTGGGTAAATCAGTTTTCCTCTATGGGCTTCAGTTTACCCATCTGTACGTGATTAGGTTTGGATTAAGCAACCACTTAAAGTATCTTCTGACTTTAAATCTATGGTCCCATGAGATTTTAGAATGAGGTAGATTCACAGCATCTGTAACTCAACAATTTTGAGCTCTATCTCTTATTTTACCCACTTGTAGTACTAGTAAAGTCATTTTGAAAGATCCAGCTTCTAGCTGTACTAAGGTAATTGTTTTTAGGTGCTCTATTTTAGGTGTGACTTTGATTATTGAGAGGTAGTGTGGTACAATGGTTAGAGCTGATGGCAGTCAGGAAGACCTGAGTTGAAGCCCTGCCTCTAACACAAAATGACTGTCACCCTGGGCAAGTCACCTAACTCTTCAATACCCCTGACAATTCTAAAAGTTGGAGAAAGGGTGATAATCTCCATTGGTAGATGGTTTCCTTATTGGAAGTACCAATGCCAATAAAACCACAAGTATGGTTCAAAATAATATAGAATGTCTCTATTGGATCATAGAATTAGAGCTAGAAGAGACCTCAGGAAGCAATAAGTTGGAAAAAATCCAATCCAAATCCCTCGGTTTATCAGTAAGTAACTGAGAACCAGAGAAGTCAGTCACACAGGTAATAAGTGGCAGAAGTCTCATATCCTTGTCTCCTCTAATTAAAATGTAAGCTCCTTGAGTCCTTGGTATTTGTATCCTCAGCATTTAGTACACTGCTAGTTCTTTGATCTTTCCCTGGAAGTAGAAATCAGGCTACACAAGCACCAGTTGAGGGAATCATAGTTTATCCTGGAGAAGAAAAAGGGGGAAGTATGGTCACTATCTCCAAATATTTGAATACTTGTCATGGGGGAAAGAGATTAGATTCTTTTTTTTTCTTCTTGTCCCAAAGGAGCAGAAAGATTTAGAACTGCAATGTACAACCAGAACTGGAACATAAGAGTCCAGCTCCAACTTCATCATTTTGCAGAGGAGAAAGATGAGGCCCCTAAAAGGTCGTATGATTTAGCAAAGGTCCCGTGGGTACAAAGTGACAAAGCTGAAATTTTGTTTTAACATGAATCTTTTGACTGTAATTCTGCTCTTTGTACCATATCAATTAGAGAGGCAGATTTCAGCTTGATATAAGGAGGGGGAAACTTCCTTATAATTGAAACTGACCAAAAGTTGGAATGAGATGCCTCAGAAGATGGTGAATTCCCCACCCCTAGAGGTCTTCAAGCGAAGGATCCCCTGTTAGAGATTCAGTGGAGCAGATTCCTTCTTTAGAATATCTTTTGGACCTCTGAGGTCCCTTTTACCTCTGAGATCTTAAGCTTTCTGCCTACACTGATCTTCCGTCTCTTTGACCTGTTGCATAATTAAACATATTCACTGTTGTTTCATGAATGTAACTTGTTTCTCCAACTAGACGTGCCTTATTCATCTTTGCATTCCCCCAAGTCATAGTGGAGCTCAGGGCTGGACATTTGGTAAAGATGAGATGGATGTTGAATTTCACTAATCAAATTCCTCTCTGTCTTTTTAAATCTCTACTCACTTTCCCTCTATCCCTTCCATTGATGTGTTCCAGAACCTCCATTTTGAGAAAGGGCCCACAAAGACCAGCCATTCTTCATTCTCTGGACTCCACCATCATATGCCCCTTTCCTTTTTAGCTTCCTTTTATGTGTTGTCTTTCCCTATTAGAATGTGAGTTCTCTGAAGGCAGGGACTGCCTTTTTGCTTGTATTTGTATCCCTAGTGCTTATTTAGCTTGGGGCCTGGCACATAATAAGTACCTGAAATGCTTGTTGACCCAAATGCCATATCCTTTTCACTTTACACCTCGACTTTTGCAGTAGGCTGCTGGGTTGATCTCCCTGCTGTTTCTCTCCTCAATCTAATCCATCCTCCCCTCAGCTGCTGAAATGATTTTCCTAAAATTCAGGTCTGATGCTGTTACCCACCTGCTTAATTCCAGTGAGACCTTATCATTTCCAGGATCAAATATAAAAAACCCTCTGGCATTTAAAGCTTTCATAATCCATCCCCTTCCAACCCTTTCAGTCTTCTTTATTCCCCTTCTCATCCTCTTTGGTCCATTAACACATACGTTGTTGATCTATCTCCAGACTCCCATGCCTTTTCACTGGCTTTCCTCTAGGCCCAAAATGGTTGCCTCCTTTTACAAT